ATCAGTGGCAACTATGGATTTATGTAGGAGAGAGTAAGGGGCAGAATTGAGTGTGCTTGTGAGTATGTTTAAACCTGTCCCTTTCTCCATCATTTGATGTCCCCAGTATCAATTTAGGGTAATTTCACTGCTCATCTAAACAACACAATTGTTTCTACATTTGCTGCTCCACATCTGCCAGTATAAAAAACCCTGACGTTTGCTGTGAGGTACCAGCAATATTTCACCTCCTTTCTTGAACAACAGAAAGTTCCTTTCCTGCAAGCAGATGGCCCAAATCTCAAACAAAAAATAGATAATTAAAGGTCTAGGTGTCCTCCTGTCTATGTATTTGAACTACTGCACGGCTCTCTTCCAAAAGGGGCTCCAAGATCTCTTCCCAGAATGCTTCAAGGCAGCAGCTCAGGCTCATTTACCTTCCCTGAACAGAATGCAAACCATCCAGGGCTGGCTCAAAACTTTCCCCATAGTGACTACAAGCATGAAGGCAATTCTTTGGTGAGTCACTTCTGGAGAGCCTCTTATTGCTGTTTTGACGCACCTTGTTTGCCTCGCTATTTCCATTTGGAAATACTCCTATCACAATGTTAATCTGTCAAAAGTTGTTTGCCCTGCAGACGAGTATCTGCATTTTATGGTGATTAAGAATACACATTGTGGTCGAATAACTAAAGCCTGATCCCTGGATGATGATGTTTGTTTTCTAAAGACAGCCAAAAACTTGACATTTTGACTTTTCTCAGTTTATGTGGGATAAACTAGGAAAGCAAGGGAATGAGATGTTTTGCTTGCTACTGGCTTGGAGAAACTATTGAACAGGCAAAATGGCCATTATTATGCAGGGTGGTTAAATATGCACAATGGAAGGGTTTTCGTTTAGCAAGGACTCCTGGGAATTTATAGTGTTCTGTGTGGATATTCATTCTGCATCCCAGGAACATCACTGCCAGAGAGAGTAGATCACCCTGTGTCAAGAATGGGTGGAAGGGCTGTAGGTCAAATAGTAGAGCATCTCCTTTGAATGCAGAAAATCTCAAATTTTGATCCTCACCAATCCAGAATGTGGCAGTGACTGGTGACTGGATGGCCGGGGCAAACACGTTTTGGAGATCCATTGGCTCCCAGATTTCCCTGCACTTCAAGTGTTTGGTCTGACCTTTAAAGCCCTAACGCCTCGCCGTACCTGAAGGAGCGTTCACCCCCATTGTTCAGCTCGGACATTGAGATCCAGCACGAGGGCTTCTGGCGTTCCTCATTGCGAGAAGTGGGCTACAGGGACAACAGAGGCTTTCGTTGCACCGCCCTTGAACGCCCTGCAGATGCAAACATAACAACTTTTACTTTAAAGTCATCTGAAGGCGCTCTTTTAGGAAGTGTTTTGCTGTCACTTTTTATTTCAGTGCCGCCCAGAGTCAGAGCCAGATGGTGGGCTATCAATAAAATTATTTTATTTATTATTATTATTCTTATTACCGAGGTATATATTTTCTGGGTTAGTTTGATTATCGTCAACCCTGAAGCTATGTAACCTGAAGAGTATGTAACCCGAAGTACCACTGTACATGGACCAATGGGCGGACTTCCAATTCAGTGTAAGGAATCTTCCTATGTTCCTAAGAGGATGGCAGCACCCCTTTGCCCCCCCCCAGTGCACTCCATAGGAGTGAATAGAATTGTATATGGGAAGTAGTAACATTTTTTTCCACCTCAGTGGATTGAACTGTCAGGGGGTAAATTATATCCTAAATACAACAAAAAGGTAGAGGGCAGGGCCATGGACAGAAACGCCCATTGGGTGTCCTGTTGTGTAGATAGATGCCTGATTATCGTCTTCCAAAGCAACTACTCTATTCCGAACTTTAAAATGGAAAGCGTAATGCTGGTGGTCAACAAGAGAGGTTTAAAGACTCTCTCAAGGCAAATCTTTAAAAATGTAGTATAAACACCGACAACCGGGAAACACTGGCTTGTGGGTGCTCCAATGGGAGAACAGCCTTTACCAAAGATGTCATGGGCTTTGAAGATGAAAGGGAGAAACATGCTAAGAGGAAGGCACACTTGGCAAACCCTCACCGTGATCAACTCCTGCCCTGAAACCTATGTCCCCACTGTGGAAGGACATGTGGATCCAGAATTGGACTCCATAGTCACTTACGGACTCACTGTTAAAACTGTGTTTATGGAAGACAATCTTACTTGGCTATGAGGGATCGCCAGAGAAGAAGAAGAAGATATTGAACATACATTTTGAATTTTGTGCATTTTAGCAAAAGTACCAAGTGGTGATATTGTGCTGCCTTTCCCATGCTTCTTATCCTTGCTTTCACCTTTCATCAAAAGGCTAGGAAGCTAGGACTTTTATGTGGACTTTATATGGTGTTGAGATATTTGATTGCAATAAATAGAGTAATAAATATAATTCAAGTAGGTAAGGGTCATGAGCCTCAGTAGCTGATATTAGTTCCTTCCAGAGAAGTAGGCATGTGATCTTTTCAGTCTTATGCAAAAACATTGTATATTGTCTTCTGTGGAACACACACACTTTATATGACCCTCCCTAATTTTAAAGTATCTGTTTTTTAATTAAAATTTTTTAAAAGGGGACATTTGGCAAATCCAACACACAAGGATCTTTTGTATTAGGTAGTGCTAAAGTACCGTATTTTTCGCTCTATAAGATGTACCAGACCACTAGTTTTTGGAGGAGGAAAACAAGGAAAAAAAATATTCTGAATCTCAGAAGCCAGAACAGCAAGAGGGATCGCTGCGCAGTGAAAGCAGCAATCCTTCTTGCTGTTCTGGCTTCTGGGATAGCTGCGCAGCCTGTATTCACTCCATAAGATGCACACGCATTTCCCCTTACTTTTTAGGAGGGAAAAAGTGAGTCTTATAGAGCAAAAAATACGGTACTTTGTGAGCTGAACATAAAAGCTTAATGATAACTCGCTTTAGATATCCAAAGTATGGGTTCTATGGAACAGTCAGTGGGCCTGGAATTTTGCTGCTGAAATGTAAGAGCAGATGTTTGGTATAGGAATCAGGTATTTTTCGAGGAATGAATGACACTTCTCATACTTTGTTTTTAAATAGCTCAGTGCTTTTATTAACACAGCCATGTTTTAATACAATGCAACCGAAATAAACAAAGAGGATCTTTTCTTCAACAGCATCATGCAACCTTATGGACCAGGCTTCCCAAGTAACTAATACCTTGCCCACAGAAATTTACGCAAGTGAGAACAATGGGCAAAGAATTGGAAATCTCATCTGCTTTAAGTTGCCATCTAGTTATTGTGATGTTTCTCGAACTTAAAATTTTGATAAACCCAAATCTGGCTGTCTTACCTTTAGATGAGCAGATTTTACTGCACGGGTCAGTGGCTGTGAAATTTGAACTCCCCAGGGTGCTTTAAAAACTGCCAAGCACTGGAGGTCAACCTTCTCTTTTTAGTAAGTTGTTGCATCTATCCAACTCCTCTTAGAGCAGAAAATATGCAACGTATGTATTAACTATGTTTCTCTTCCGCAACATGGCGTAAGATTGGTGTCTTCACTGACCTAGAAATTTTCCATTGGGGAAAATCAATTGTGGTCTCATTGGCCTGTTCACCTATATATTCCCATTATGGGCTGTGGCACAAAGCCTATCAAGATCCAATACCAATAAGGTTGCAGGAGTGCAGGTTGATGGCAAAGTTTGACCCCAATGTGTAGAAATGCTCCCCTATAGGTTATATATTTAGTTGCAAACAAAGGAAAAACTAAGCATTAAGTTAAGAAGAACCAAAATAAGTTATACAAATATATGAGTAATGCTAATGGTATCATCTTAGCAAATACTAATAAATATCCTACGAGAATAGCACCTAACCTCAGATCTGCTTTTTGTCTTTTACTTTAACAGCTGACTTCCATATGCAATATGTACACCTGCAGCAAAATCCTCACCTGAGAAATAGGCCAATACAATTCAGGGCTCATGTCCTTGACCTGTGATCAAGGCAAACTTGAAAGGTCCCATTTTCTCTTTCTTTGGAGACAATCCTCACTTCACATTCCACAGTCAGTCCCCTGCCTTCTCTCTCTCTCTCTCTCTCTCTCTCTCTCTCTCTCTCCCCTAGTAACTTTCCACATTGTTCTCAGTTTTCTTGGCATTACTCTTCTGAGTTAGTAATCACTGCCTAACTATTTTCCTCCTTGACCAACTAGGCTTAACTATCATGTGCATATTGTTTTTAATTTGTTTGGGGTTTTTTTCCTTTTTTAAAAAAGAATATATTATTCTCTATTTGCAAGTGCAATCTTATGCATGCCTACTCATGAGTAAGTCCCACTGGGTCTTACTGCCAGGTAATGGTGCACAGGATTCCAGGCTTAGTTATGATCAGCTTCCATCACTTTGTCTAATCCATAAGCAGAAATAGAGGGCCAATGGAATGGCGCCATTGTAGCAGCAGTGCAGCTGAAGTACACAATGAGGCTTAAGTTAATTGCTCAGTCTCTAATCACTGGACTCCACAGTCCCTGGATCTGAGTACACATGTTCAGCTCTACAACTTGCTGATACAGAAAAGAAACACTACACCAACACCTATCTATAGTCATTACACCAACACCTATCTAAGCTCATATAGACATGCAAAGTTCTGCCCACCTACCTACTCCATTGTTCCCTGAATCTACAACATGCTAGCATGTGACTATGTTTGGGTAGGCAGTTAGCCCAGAATTTATGCTAAAATCACTGAGGTGACCTACTTTTTGTCTGGCTCTTATGGTGCTCTCTCAAAGCAAATACAAATGGACAATTCCTTACCAGCTACAGTGGTACCTCGGGTTACAAACACCTTGGGTTACAAACACTTCGGGTTACAGACTCCGAAGTAACCTGGAAGTAGTACCTCGGGTTAAGAACTTTGCCCCAGGATGAGAACAGGAATCGCGTGCCGGCGGTGAGGCGGCAATGGGAGGCCCCATTAGCTAAAGTGGTACCTCAGGTTAAGAACAGTTTCAGGTTAAGAACGGACCTCTGGAACTAATACAGTTTGTAACCAGAGGTACCACTGTATTCCTAATGGTAGCATGGTTACAAACACTAATTTTGCATCTATTTTGCACCAGGAGTTTCATGGCATCTAACCTGGAGATTGTATATGCTCACATTCTGCTTCAGGAGCAGAAGGGAATAAGAGTCTGTGCTATTGTCTCAGGCAACTGGCAGGTACTCTGAAGAACTGGGATGGAAGAACTAAATTCTACATCCGTTATAGACCGGGTCTTGTCCAGATGGGGACAAGTTAAGACCCCATGTGACATGTGTTTATCTGTATGCAAGAGTCGTGGAATAGCTCACATGCAAAAAACCTTGGCAGCTGAAGTATATGAAGTGTAACATGGGCCTATTTAAAAAGCAAGTGTTTAACACAGTTTTAGCAAGACGGGGCCCAACCATGACCTGACTTGTGAGATACATATTTTAGTTTGCCAGAGCCTAATGGTGTCCCTAAAAGCAGCCAGAAGAGGAGCAGTGAAATGTCCCCACTGATTGCATTTCACACACACAAAATCCCTTGCTGAGCACCACTTGTATTTCAAAAAGCCCAGAAATAATTTAATCTACATATTAATTTTTTTGAGTATAAGTAAAAGAAGGAAGGTGGAAAGGGCACTGTTTATAATACAAGTCAAAAGACTATTCTGTTGGCTTCTAGGTTCTTCTAATAGGTAATGCTGGTATTATAACTCCAATACTAGTTTTCCCTCACCACAGAGAATACTACTCTGTGAACTTGACCCCCACAAACCCTAAGAGACAGGGAAGGTTTCATTGCCACCTGTAGGAGTCCGATTTCCAACAGTTAACCTCAGTAATGTAAGGCTTAATTTGGATTTCCATCTGTGGACCATGAGTCAATGGATGGAATGAGGCTTCTAGAAGAAGGTATCTGGATCCCAGTCATGTGCTCCTGGGACACTTACTCCATAGAGCCAGACTCAACATAGTAGCATATTTCACCAGCTGGAAGGTGGTGGTGCTCATCAGTGCTAAATTCATAGACCATACAGACAGGGATTCCAATTGCTGGCTCATCACTCTGGGATCTGGAAAGGCCTCTGTCCACCAAAGGTCCACTCTCTGGGAAGCCTTCATGTCCACCACTGTGGCTTATGCACAAGTTATCTACTAGGGCCTCTTCACTTCTGCTGCTGTAGCTTCTAGAGAGACCAACTTCTGGCACATTTTCTTTTTCAGAGCTGTGGCTTCGAGACAGGCTGCTTTCTGGAGCATCTTCGCTTTCAGTTCTGGACAAATTAGGGGGTGAAATAACTGCACATCTATAGCTGTAGCTTCTAGAAACTGTGCCCTCTGGGATATTTTCCGTTTCCTTGCTGCTGCTTCTAGATAGACTAGCCTCTGAGGCACCTCTGCTAACTTCACTGGAGCTTCTATAAAAATCAGCTGGTTTAAAGCTCCCACTTTCTCCACTGTGGCTTCTAGAAAAGCTTGGCTCTATAGCATCTCCACTTCTTCTGTGAATCCAAATAGGAGTAGATGTCTCCACAGGGCCTCCACTCTCGCCACTGTGACTTCTAGCAAAACTATCGCCTTTGGCTTCTGTACTTCTACAAAGACCAGACTCTAAGATAACGTTATGGGCCTCACTATAACTGTGATCATCTACCAACCTTCCACTTCTATCGCTATGACTTTCTTTGCTTTCACTGCTGTGGTCTCTTGAAAGGCCACCACCTACAAATCTTCCACTGTTGCTGCTTTGGCTTCTGGAAAGACTACCCTCTGAGGTGCCTCTGCCTCCACTACTATGACATCTAGAAGCACTACTTTCTATAAAGGTTGCATTAGTACCACTGGAGCATCTAGAAAGGTTGCCCTCTTGTGTACCTTCAGTGCGGGCTCTCGTAAAGACAGTGTCTGCAAAGCCTCCACTTCTGCTTCTAAAAGAACCACCCTGTGAGCCATCTCTGCTGGCCTTGCTGCTGCTTCTAGAAACTCCACCAACTGGAACGCCACCATCTTCAGCGCTGTTGGTTCTGGAAACCGCAGACTCAGCAGAGCCGTCATGGGCTTCCTTTTCATCACTGTAGCTTCTAGAAGGGCTGTTAACCGAGATGTAGCTGCTTGCCCCACTATGACTTCTAGATATGCTACCCACTGGCACTCCACTATCTTCAGCACTGTTGGTTCTAGAAACAATAGGCTCAGCATATCCTTCACTTCCACGGCTAACATCACTCTCGTTTCTAGAAAGGCTACCACCAGAGGCATAGCTGCTTGCCCTGCTATTGCTTCTAGATGTGCCACCCACTGGGACTCCACCATCTTCAGCACTGTTAGTTCTAGAAACAATAGGCTCAGCATATCCTTCATTTCCATGGCTAACATCACTCTCGTTTCTAGAAAGGCTACCACCAGAGACATAGCTGCTTGCCCTGCTATTGCTTCTAGATGTGCCACCCACTGGGACTCCACCATCTTCAGCACTGTTAGTTCTAGAAACAATAGGCTCAGCATATCCTTCACTTCCATGGCTACTATCATTCTGGATTCTAGAATGGCTACCACCAGAGGCATAGCTGCTTGCCCTGCTATTGTTTCTAGATATGCCACCCACTGGGACTCCACCATCTTCAGCACTGTTGGTTCTAGAAACAATAGGCTCAGCATACCCTTCATTTCCATGGCTACTATCATTCTGGATTCTAGAATGGCTACCACCTGAGACATAGCTGCTTGCCCTGCTATTGCTTCTAGCTATGCTACCCACTGGGACCCCACCGTCTTCAGCACTGTTCATTCTGTAAACACTAGGCTCAACACATGCTTCACTTCCATAGTTTCCATGGATTTCATTTTCATTACTTTCGCTTCTAGAAAGGCCACCTTCCACATAGGATGCACTGGTACCACTATAGCTTCTAGAAAGGCTGCCCCCTGAGACACCTTCACTCTCACCACTATGAGTTCTAGCAAAAACTTTATCTGCTAAGTCTCCACTTCTGCTGCTTTGGCTTCTAGAATAGTTGCCCTCTTGGACACCTTCACTTGCGCCACTGTTGGTTCTAGCGAATACACTGTCAGTCAAACCAACACTTCTGTTGCTTTGGCTTCTAGAGAGGCTGCCTTCTAGGTTATCTCCACTCCTGTTACTGTGGCTTCTATAACTCCCACTTCCATGACCCTGACTTCTAGAAACACTGCTATTCATGGTGTCTTCAATGTCTGCAAAATTTCCACTTCTGCTACTGCTTCTAGAAGTACTACTCTCCAAGGTACCTTTGCGGATACTGCTGTGACTTCTTGAAGCCTCTGAGATACCCTCTGAAGGACCTCCACTTCTATTGCTATGGCTTCTAGAGAAATCATCATGGGAAAACCCTCTGCTTCCACCACTGTGACTTCTAGAAAGTCCACTTTCCAAACTGCTTCTGCTACGGTTCATGTTATCTGTTGAAACTTCATTTGCTATGCTTGCCGCATTTGAGGTGGTTGTGATGTTGATGTTTGATGAAGCTGTGAAGGAAAACAGAGAGGATGGTTGCAGTTTTGGGAGGTTTCTCTTATACTTTTACTGTAAAGGTAAAGGGACCCCTGACAGTTAAGTCCAGTCGTGAACAACTCTGGAGGTGCGGTGCTCATCTCGCTTTACAAGCCGAGGGAGCCTGCGTTTGTCTGCTCCACAGACAGTTTTTCCAGGTCATGTGGCCAGTATGACTAAGCCACTTCTGGTGCAATGGAACACCGACACCAGAGCAGCACATGGAAACGCCGTTTACCTTCCTGCTGGAGTGGTACCTATTAATCTACTTGCACATTTTGGCGTGCTTTCAAACTGCTAGGTTGGCAGGAGCGGGGACTGATCAACGGGAGCTCACCCCATCACAGGGATTTGAACTGCCAACCTTTTGATCGGCAAGCCCAAGGCTCAGTGATTTAGACCACAACACCACCTGCGTCCTCACACTTTTACTGTAGTGTTTCTCATTTTGAAGGACATTCCACTTAAGTATTTGTGTCTAAAGCATCCCTCTAGTGCTGGCTACAGGGTTTTTATTTTGGAGGGGAGGGCGCTTAGAATCATAGAATCATAGAATCATAGAGTTGGAAGAGACCACAAGGGCCATCGAGTCCAACCCCCTGCCAAGCAGGAAACACCATCAGAGCACTCCTGACATATGGTTGTCAAGCCTCTGCTTAAAGACCTCCAAAGAAGGAGACTCCACCACACTCCTTGGCAGCAAATTCCACTGTCGAACAGCTCTTACTGTCAGGAAGTTCTTCCTAATGTTTAGGTGGAATCTTCTTTCTTGTAGTTTGGATCCATTGCTCCGTGTCCGCTTCTCTGGAGCAGCAGAAAACAGCCTTTCTCCCTCCTCTATGTGACATCCTTTTATATATTTGAACATGGCTATCATATCACCCCTTAACCTCCTCTTCTCCAGGCTAAACATGCCCAGCTCCCTTAGCCGTTCCTCATAAGGCATCATTTCCAGGCCTTTGACCATTTTGGTTGCCCTCCTCTGGACACGTTCCAGTTTGTCAGTGTCCTTCTTGAACTGTGCTTGGGCAAGATGACCTTAGTGGGACCTCCCTGAGTGGGCTCACCACCTCGTTACTGTCCCCACTTTCTTAACTGCTGTTCTTTTTCCATTTGGGCCCTGTCTAATCACCCACTGAGATGAAAAGAGCAAGGCAACTGGAGGGTGCTGCTCTATCTGCTCTGTCTTGTCAATAATTGCATGCATCTAGAGGGCAGGTAAATAAGCAGTGACAGCGAGCGGGAGGAGCAACAGGGCCTGAATGCCTTAGGTGTTGATAGTGGGCCTCCTGCAAGGACCTGGACCTTGGGCAGGTGCCCAAAGTCCTTCTTGCTGCTGCTTCTCAGCTCAATCTCCTTTTCAGCTTTTAGAAAGACTTGGTCAAATGTAGGATGCTCTTCAGAATAATGAGCATAGCTGATAATCAATCAAACAACAACAAAAATAAACTTACAGTGCTTTGGCATGGAGTAGATTCTGCTAATGACAGCAGGCTGTGGGGACTCCATGCTGTGAAGGGAAAAGGTAATGAGGTAAGCTACAGAAGAAGAAAAACATCTAAAGAAGTAGAGTTCCACAGTTTGGTTAAAAAGTCTGGGATCTGAATAGGAGTCATCATTGCTACATGTGTAGAATGCTGGTGGATTAGGAACCCTCAGAGTTCCAAACACTTAGAAGCTTGTTTCATATGTTACTCATGTGAAGGGGCTTCAGGTGTACAAGGGCTGCAAAATTGGCCCGCCCTTAAGGTCATCCAGTACCTACACTGGGCCCCCAGTGTTCATGCATTGAGCAAGGATATCTGATAGGTGAAGCCTGTTCAATCAGGGTTCCAAGCCAGATAAAGGTCTACACATGTAGGCTTCATCTTGACACTTGGGAGTAAGGAAGAGATATAATATCAGGGTTGGGGGCATCAGCACAGCCCCAGTGCCCTGCAGCAAAGATACACATCCCTCCATATGGTTAATGCATCTCTTCTCTGTGTGTTGGAATTAATCTCTGAACCAGGCCTTGGATTTGGTTTGATGTTTTACAGCATACTTTTTCAGAGGTATGACTTTAGGTAAGTAGTCCAGCATGGCTGGATCTCAGACCAGGATGTCTGTTGTGTGCCAGAAACTGGAACCTATTATCGAAGTCCCTTAGCTCCTTAGGGGTGGCATTTAATTAAGGTTTACTCAAAGCAGACCCATTGAAATTAAGGGAATGAACTTAGTCATGCTTTTTTCATTTCAATGGGCCAACTCTGAATGCCATCCCTAGGCAAAAGCTACAAACTCCAGGTCAAGGAAAGCGTAGAACCTTCCTGCACTTTCCCGGGAGTGCAGCTGTAGACATTTCTTGATTGTTTCCCTTCTTGAAAAACATCAAGCATGAAATGTCCTAAGATGTCAAACAGCTGAATATACAAATACCATCTGCAGGCAGGACATTCAGTCTCAAAGTTCCCAGAGGGGAATTTTGAACAGAAATGGTTTTCAGCTCTGACCTCTGTTCAAATCACACACATAGCGGCTTCCAATCAGTTTACACACCTGATTTCTTCCCCTTCCATCAGCTTCCGGTAGGTAAGAATCTCTATGTCCAGGGCCAGCTTGATATTCATCAGCTCTTGATACTCCTTGACAAGCTGAGCCAAGTCCTGCCTGGCATTGTGAAGAGCCTCCTCCAACTTAGCCAGTTTGGCTTTGGCATCCTTGAGTGCAGATTCACCTTGCGCTCCAACCTCTTTGATGTTTTCCTCGAGTCGTAGGCACTAGAATGGACAGAAGGTAACACGGAAGGTGATAAATGAGGGCACGTGGCTTGGGAGTTCTCCATGCTCTCCTCTTGCTCACTGCCTTCCATTTGACCCAAGTGAAATGCTGAATGGGTCACTCACAGGTATCTTCTCTCTGGAGATGGGCACTCTTGGGGGATGTTAGGTCTCTTGCAAGACTAGGGTCTGAAGTTACAACACTTCCCATGAGAGGGATGGAGAGATAGAGGAGGGTGGGAAGAGATGGACTTACCAGTCTGCTCTACCACTTGAAGCATTCTGTCAGTAACAAATCATGCTGTGAAATTTGAGAACAACTACTCCCAAACCATGCTGGAAAAGCAACAATATTGAGTTCCAGATAAACTGTTCATTCAGCAATCATCCTGGTTTGCTTGCTCAGAGCTTCTGTGGAGGTTAGACTCTAGCTAGACTTTATTGAGCATTCATCTTCATTTGCAGTTACAGATGGGTAGCCGTGTTGGTCTGCCATAGTCAAAACAAAAAAAATTCCTTCCAGTAGCACCTTAAAGACCAACTAAGTTAGTTCTTGGTATGAGCTTTCGTGTGCATGCACACTTCTTCAGATACACTGAAACAGAAGTTGCCAGATCCTTCTATATAGTGAGAAGGTGGGGAGGGGTATTACTCAGAGGGGGGTGGGAATGGGTGATTGGCAGATAGCTGTGATGAGTCTGTTGACGACCCTTAACGACTGCAGTAGGTCTTACAGGAAAAAGCAAGGGGTGAGAAGGTGAAAAATGGCTTTGTCATGTATAGTGAGATAAGAATCCAATGTCTCTGTTCAGGCCAGGTGTCTCCATGGTTTTAAGTTTGCGTGAAAGTTTGTTTGCATGCCATCCATTAATGATGCAGTCATACCACACTTTTCAATGTATTTCTCCTGCTGCTTTTCTAACTGCAAAAACATTCCTTATTGTTTTCAGTGAATTTGTTGCACCAGGGTGACAGAGCACTTGAATCTACCTTAATTGCACAAACCTAAATTTCAAGTATGCACTTGAATCCCTCCAGCAATAGAGAGACAGTCTGGAGACGCCCATACATAATTTCATTTATTAACAATAACAAATTTGTCAGGCTCTGGGTCCCTCCAGACTGCCAGTATTTTGCAGGAGGGATTCAAGGGCATACCAGAACTTTGGGTTTATGCATATAAAGTGGATTAAAGGTCTCTGTCACAACGAACCCACTTTGGGAAAACTTCAGAGTTTAATAAGGTTGGAAAGTAATGGAGAGATGCATTGACATGTGTGAGGTGAAGGAATGACTAACAGGAAGAAGTGTAAACAAGAAAATTAAGGCAAATGCAGGGTGAATCCTCATAAGCGTGTAATTGCCTGCAAACTAATGAGAATGAATGCTTAATAAAGACCGAATATAGTCTAACCACTGTGTAAACTTTGTGCATGCAGATCAGAATGCTGAATAAATGGATCATCAGGAAGAGCCTGCTTGCAATAAATCAGATATGCGAAGTAGGTTAACAAAACATAGCAGGCAAAATGCTGTCCTTTGATCCTATTGCAACTAATTTTACTAATGTTCCTCCACACCACACACTTTCCCTGTCCTGTGAGACAAAATCCCCACATTCCTGTAGTGCAGGGGTGTTCCATCCTGTTTCGCCACCTGAGGCAACCAGGAAGGTGAAGCATCACTGCCACTATCCCCTCTCCCACCAAAGCATCACTTCCTGGGGTGACCCAGCTGTGGCTTTCATCAAGATCTCACAAGAAGCCCACAATATCTTGCTGGAACCTGGAAGCAACAGCTGCTTCCCCTTGTGACAGTGGGAGCTGGTGGCATCCCCCACCTTGGAAGAAGTAGCAGTGAGATCTTGCAAGAACCACCACTGCTTCTCCTTGCTTCTCTGGCAGTGGTAGAGGTGGGTGGGATGCCCTGCAGGGGTGCCTCCCCTTTGGATTCCATAGCCCAAGGCAACTGCCTTGGTCTACCTCAGGGGCAGGCCAGTCCTGCTGTAGTGTATTAGTTAGCTGAGGCCAGGAATGGGGAATAATGTTTAAGCCAGGGAATCCAGATGCTGTTGGATTTCAACTCCCATCACCCCTAGCCATCAAGGCCAATGGTCAAGGGACGGTGGGAGTTCTTGGCCAATAACACCAGGAAGATCACAGTTCCTCATCCTTGGCTCAGTTTTTGAGAAGCCTTGGATTGAACTAGGGACATTCTGTATGTAAAAGATGTGCTCTAAGCTATGGCCCCTCTAGCATGAATACCGCCAAGACCACACCCCTGTTTTGCTGCCGTCTTTCTGCATAGTTGCTGTAACATTCAGCTGTTCATATTGCATCAATTTCATCATGAATGTGGACAGATCACTGCAGCCATATGTAAAGGTAAAGGGACCCCTGACCATTAGGTCCTGTCGTGGCCGACTCTGGGGTTGCGGCACTCATCTTGCTTTATTGTCCGAGGGAGCCGGCGTACAGCTTCCGGGTCATGTGGCCAGCATGATTAAGCCACTTCTGGCGAACCAGAGCAGCGCACAGAAACGCCGTTTACCTTCCCGCCGGAGCGGTACCTATTTATCTACTTGCACTTTGACATGCTTTCGAACTGCTAGGTTGGCAGGAGCAGGGACCAAGAAACAGGAGCTCACCCCGTCGCGGGGATTCGAACCGCCGACCTTCTGATCGGCAAGTCCTAGGCTCTGTGGTTTAACCCACAGCGCTACAGCCATATATACACCTAATTAGAATATAATATTAGAATAGCAAAAAGCATGCACTTTTACAGTGTGTGTGTGTGTGTACAACATCTATGTGAAATCTTGATTTGGCATATGTCTTGGGTTTTTTTCTCTCATTCTTGTTTTCCCGCCTCCCAGCAGCCACATCTTACTTGGCTTTTCAAGGACACGATGCAGGACCTCATTTTCTGGATCTGTATGTTTAACTCAGCAATCACCCTCCGGTCTTGAAGGAGATGGTCACCATACTTAGCAGATAGCACCTCTCTTTCATTCAGCTGGAGGAGAAAATGAAAATATATTACCCTCCTGTTAACAAAGCAATGCATGGGCACCAAGTAAGAGGATCAAGGAATGGAGGGCCATAAACAACACACCTTTCTGAGAAAACCTGCAACAATGACTGTACTCATTACCGCTGGGACTTTCCGTGTAAAATTTCCTTCCTTTCTAAGAACTCTTGAGCCCCGGGGATTAGCACACACATATAGAATTACCCTTTTGACCAAAGTGGCAGCATCTAATCCTTCCCAACTGAATGATAAATCTGTTTTCTTCTTGTGCATCCCCTTTCCCATTATTCATCCTTATTTTCTTCCTCTTTCCTTGCCGCTTCATCTTGCTTGATCTGGGTATCACCATTCATGCCAAATTCCTGAGGTCTGTTTACTTCCTTCCCATCACTGGGAGATGACAATCAAATCTGCCCACCAGGGACGAATCAGGTCTACCCCTTTCCATTTATCTGTTGTTGCTACTTGTCCTATCTGTATATTTTTGCAGGCTATGCAGTGCCATGTTGGAACCAGGCAGCTGTCATTTTCCTAAGTGTGGGGCATATACTAAAGAATAGCCCTGTCCATGGGCTATTCGGGTTGTGATTCAACACGGCCTAAATTCATGCTACTTTCCCAGGCTTTTAAGAAACATACTATATATGTATGTTTTACGAAGAGAGAAATATTGGGAGAAATATAGTCAGGCCAGCTGTAAAGCATCCAGCAAATTCCTCTGTGGGTTAATATTTCAGAGCAGATAATCATTTTGTGGGAATTAGACTAAAATCCCCCACTCTCTGGTCTACATCAGATAGGTATGAATTAGTAGAAGAAGAAGAGGATTTGGATTTGATATCCCTCTTTATCACTACCCTAAGGAGTCTCAAAGCGGCTAACATTCTCCTTTCCCTTCCTCCCCCACAACAAACACTCTGTGAGGTGAGTGGTGCTGAGAGACTTCAGAGAAGTGTGACTGGCCCAAGGTCACCCAGCAGCTGCATGTGGAGGAGCGGGGAATCAAACCCGGTTCACCAGATTATGAGTCCACCGCTCTTAACCACTACACCACACTGGCTCTCAGACTATCCCATCTCCACACATTAGTCTGGGAGGTCAGATCAGGTCAGTTCATATTAAGTTCTTCACCCATCCATTTCTGCATTCTCTCTTTGAGCAGCTCTGGCATTTTAAGCCCTCCACCTTTGCTGTGTCTTTCCATTAGGACTGGCGACACCATCAAGGGCTTGGGGGCAGTTCTCATTGACAAGCAGGTGTGTACCTTGCTTCGTGTGAGTGCCTCTAATTCTTCCCAGCTCCTGATAGCCAGGTCTTCATACTGAGCTCTCACATCCTCCACGATCCGGTGAGGGTCAGGGTTGTATCGGTTGTTATCAATTCCCACCACGACAGAGATGTCCTTGATTTGTGACATCACCTCTTCAAGTTCCTAGGTACAGCAGAAAGAAGACCAGGCTTGAGTTGTTGCCATGCATATGCAAGGTCATGTAATTACCACTCGCAAGAAAGGACTGGAAGCTCAGCTGTGCATGGATATAATAATAATAATAATAATAATAATAATAATAATAATAATAATTATTATTTATTATTTATACTCCGCCCATCTGGCTGGATTTCCCCAGCCACTCTGGGCGGCTTCCAACTGAATATTAAAAACAGTACAGCATCAGACATTAAAAACTTCCCTAAAGAGGGCTGCCTTCAGTTGTCTTTTAAAAGTAAAATAGTTGTTTATTGCTTTGACATCTGCTGGGAGGGCGTTCCACAGGGCAGGCGCCACTACCGAGAAGGCCCTCTGCCTGGTTCCCCATAACCTTACTTCTCGCAATGAGGGAACCGCCAGAAGGCCCTCGGTGCTGGATCTCAGTGTCCGGGTTGAACGATGGGGGTGGAGACGCTCCTTCAGGTATACAGGACCGAGGCCGTTTAGGGCTTTAAAGGTCAGCACCAACACTTTGAATTGTGCTCGGAAACGTACTGGGAGCCAATGCAGATCTCTCAGAGATCTCTCTCTAATATTAGTTAACATTACTTATTATCACTTTTTGATATTCAAAACTTTTCACCAACATTATCTTAGCAAAAGATAACCTTAGCACAATGCCCAGAGAGAGGTCAAAGGAGGTCACAGCTTTGCATAAAATGTGCACACACACATTATATGTGCAGAAGCAAGTTTAGAAATAAAGACTATAATTTAAACAGAAATATGATACATCTTACCACAGTGGGGAAGATGGTGTAAGGTGGAAAATATGTCCCTACACCTCAGTAATCCCTACAACAACTCTACAAGGCAGGTTAGTATCATACCACCCCCATTGGTCCATCTGGCTCAGAAATGTCTATGCTAACCAACATCAGCACACTGGGGGTGCTTCCTGCTGGGAGATAACGCCGAGGCCTTGTGCCTTTCCCCAATGCAGTGTCGCCCAGGATTCTTCACTCCGGTCTCCCGTCACACTGATGCGACCCAAAGCCTCCTGGGACATGAGCACGTGACCAGCAGAGTCCAAAATAGAAGTGTTAGCCTTGAGGTGTAACATCTAATCCTTATTTAGTGTAATGAAATCAAACATAACAGTACTAACAGTATAAAATAAACATGGCTCCTCTTTCTTTCTCTTCCTTGGAGAGGATGCTAAAACAAAACATCACTGTGAGAGAACAGTGGGAGGTAGGGAGCTAACAGCGTATCTCCCTTTCCGCTTATATAGCTCACACAATCAGCAGCTAAAATGCATTGCATACAGACACGTGATCCAACAATCCTATAACTGCAGCGTAGGGAGGGGTGAAATCCTAACATCCCATCTGGAAATGAACCTGAGACCTTTTGCATGAAAATATGAGCTCTGCCCATGAGCTATTCCCTATTTCCACCTAGATCCAAAACCTACCTACCTTCCTTCCTTCCTTCCTTCCTTCCTTCCTTCCTTCCTTCCTTCCTTCCTTCCTTTTTTCTTTCCTTCTCTCTCTCTCTCTCTTCTCTCTCTCTCTCTCTCTCTCTCTCTCTCTCTCTCAACATGTAGCAGCTCCCTGACCTCTGGCACATACCCACAGGATGACTGATGCTGTCATGATACAGAGGAAGGGTGCCCGGACTGCACCTAATAAAGACGAGATTCAGCTCAGTAACTCTCAAAGGCATCATAATCCCAGCTGGCAAACCACACACACATGCCTGTGTGGCTGAAGGGCAGGCAAGATCTAACTTGAAGGATTCCGAAGCCAGAACACTTTGGGTGTTTTTGTCCAGCTTCCTCCTCCTCCAACCTATGCCTTTCTCCAAACAACCTTGGTTTGTGACAGCCAATCTCCATTAGGCAAATGGCTTAACTCCACCAGTCTCAGCCCTTTTGTTTTTCCTCACTTTTATGGGAAGTTTAAAACTGTTTCCACATGGAGGGTTGCAGTTTTGCTTGCCCTGACTCTTGCCTCACTGGGAAGGAACAAAGGCAGAGGCTGGAATCCACGGTTTGCCCACTTGTAGCAAAAAGCTGCTTGCCACCAAGCAGAGTTCTCAAATTACTGTCTCTTCCATATATACCTATTTCCTGAGAAAAGTAAACAAGAATTTTTGCACACCCCTCATCTTCATTTTAAAAGGAACTAAAGCCTAGAGGTATAGATGCAGAGAGAAGTATGTGTGCACAGTTCTGAAGCATTCACAGAAGAATGGCTACACCCAGGATATGTTAACTCTACAGCAATTAAGGCTAGCAACTTTGGGGAGGGGCCAAGAGGCAGAGTCATGGCAGAAGGCAGAGCCAGGCAGATGGCTTTGTGATGAGCCATTAAAGGTAAAGGTAAAGGGACCCCTGACCATTAGGTCCAGTCGTGACCGACTCTGGGTTGCGGCGCTCATCTCGCTTTATTGGCCGAGGGAGCTGGCGTACAGCTTCCGGGTCATGTGGCCAGCATGACTAAGCCGCTTCTGGCGAACCAGAGCAGCGCACGGAAACGCCGTTTACCTTCCCGCCAGAGCGATACCTATTTATCTACTTGCACGTTGACGTGCTTTCAAACTGCTAGGCTGGCAGGAGCAGGGACCGAGCAACGGGAGCTCACCCCGTCGTGGGGATTTGAACCACCAACCTTCTGATCGGCAAGTCCTAGGCTCTGTGGTTTAACCCACATTGCCACCCGCGTCCCTTGAGCCGTTAGCCACTTCATTAATTTTATCTTTAAGGTAGTTGATTTTGCTGCCAAAGACCAACAGGGCTCCCCCTCTGTAAATGCATGAACTCTGACAAAGTGAAGGCTGAACAGAATATCCAGTTTTCAAGACACGTAGCTGAAGGTTCTGTTTAAAGATTGGGAGGGGCAAAAGGCTATCAGAACACAATATATATATGAGCAAATCATGCAGGCATGTGTGCACATTTTTATTTATATACACCACCCTCTGATAAAATATCAGGGCAGTGTACACTCTTTAAACCCCATTAAAACACCAGATAACAATAATTAAAATGACTGGCTACTCAACAAAAATTTAAACAACTGCACTTGCTTGACCCTTTTCATTCATACCCTGTTTTCCATGGCCCAGAATCTTCAATCTAGATACTTGAAGCACAAACAATGCCACCTTGATACCATTTCCCCTAATACATGCATATATATATATATATATATGGTAGACACTGTTTGGTTAGATAACTGTATCACAAAATTTGGATAACTGCAAATGCTGAAAGATAGCTGTATTTTGGTTTGCATCAGTGGTGTGCGGTCAGTGGACTAGGGGAACTATGCTAGAGCCCTAAATGTTCCCCTAGTGCCTTCTTCCCAAAGCCCAGGAAGCTCACAAACGTGACGTCACACCCCCATCACTGTCACAAGCTGGCGCCTCTGGCCCTAACTGTTCCCCTAGGAAAAATTTCACCGCAGGCCATCGATTTGCATATTGGTCTGGGAAGTGCAAATTTGGTAGATTTGCCTATAGAATGAACTGAATGGAACTTCTCTCCCACCTCAAGTGCTATGATATGTTTAGAAAAGTTATTTCCATAATGTTGGACAGAGAAACAGAAGAAAGGCTTGTGCAAAATTAACCAATAGCTGTGAAACGGAAAATAGTAGAGGAACGTGGATTGAGACACACCCAGTACTGGATTTACGTATAAGCTAAACAGCCTATAGCTTAGGGCACTGGTGGAGGAAGAGGAGTGAGGAGGGAACGCACCGCCCCCGGCAGCGTGATCCTAGTGGGGTGCTGTCGCAGCTGCCTCCCGCTAATGCTGGGCGCCACGCCCATTTGGGTGGCGTGCCATGCCTTGGGACACATGCCAGCCGTGCCCCCATCTGCTCTCCGCCCTCCGGCCCCAGAACATGAAGCTCTGCCACTGGCTTAGGGTCCCACTCTCTTGGGGGCCCCAAAAAATTTAAAGGAAAAAGACACCTGGATGTACATTTCCAAAATATAAGATAAAAAACAAATAAAATAAAACCCACATACAGCAACGGTGTTTTGTTTGTGTAGACTCCTATGATGTAAGTAATGGGCCCCGCCTGCTAGCCTGCTCCCTAAAATATCATTGGTTTGCTCATTTCTATATCAATTACTTTGATAAAATACATATTTTGGTATGTGCAAATGGCTTTAGAAACCTATTAGGTCCATAAATTACCATATAGCATACATTCAACACAAAAAACAGCGGCAATTTGTTGTTGACAAAGGACAGCTGGGCATATAAAGGGCCCCATTACCTTCAGTAGCTTAGGGCCTCATCAAACTTCAATCCGGCCCTGGAGACATCCGTACATTCCTACTCCTAACACTGCTGCAGTCTAGGCTTGGATATAACTCTGACTTCTGTCTTCATGCAGAACAGAGATGGGGCTGTTTGCATTTAAAATGTCTAGATTTCAGTGCCATGTAAAGTTGGCCATAATTTTTTACTAAATTTGTATGCCACCCTCCATCTGTAGATCTCACAGCAGTTATGAATGAAGCAGGTCAAACAACTGTGCACATATGTGTTCACATATTGCTTCTGATAGCCATTTGTCCCTCCCAGTGTGTACCCAGAATATTCAGCTATGTGTCTTGGACACCGGAAATCCTATTCAGCCTCTACTTTGTCTTCTGAATTTTTGTCCTAGACATTTTCAAACTTACTTCAGTAACCTTAAGGTCTAGTAACCTGCTTGAAATAAGTAAAGCATCCTGAAGCTGAGGATCTGAGGGTGCTAAAATGTGTTTGGTGCAATCTGAGGGAAAAGCAGGTGGGCTTTGGGTAGGGGAATCCACTGCTGCTGATATGATCTCTTACTGCTGGTGACATTTGCATTTGTATATGGAAACTTCTGTGGGCTCTCTGCCTACCAAGACTGCTTGTGAAATAGAAAGTAGGGAGGAAAAGGACCAGAGGCACAGGAAGGTACAAGACAACCATGGAAAGAGCCTAAGAAAAGTAATCTCTGCCAGTCCTAGCAACCATTACGGTCTCTACCTTCTGGCCGAAGCAACCAATGCACAAGAAAAATGGAAGCAAAGGAGACATGGTGACAAACTAGCTCTACTTTAATTAAAAGGCCACTCCATTAATGTAATAACCTTGGAGTCATTTTATGCTGATCGCTGGAGCACTGTCTGTGAAATGGGAGCAATAAATGGGAGTTCTAAACCTCAATGTGCATGATAAACCTCAATGTGCATGATAAAGCTCAGGAAAGCTTTGAAACACCTCTTCCTTAATTTGTTTGGCATCAGAGAAAGCCGGGAAGGTCAAGTGACTTGAAGTGAGCCTGCATTTCAAGAGAGGGCAGGGCAAAGGCGCTATATCTGGCACAGATAGAAGGTGGTAGATGGGGTCGGAGTGATTGCAGAAAAGCTTGGTTTAAGAATAAGGTATTGGAGCAGGATTCCAAGAGCAAAACAGAAATGGGTTGACAAACGAGAGTGAGAAAGATTGTCCTCAACAGAATGGGCTTTCCAAAGCAACTGGCAAGGCTGGGCCAGTCTCCACAACGGAGAGGAACTGTCATGCGAGATTGAGCCAAGCAGTTCATCAGACTCTCCTTGCGGACAGCATATCTTGAATTCCTAAGGAAAAGTCACCGTCTGATTATGTATCTAGGCCAAATGCAATGAGGGCAATGCGGGCAGGAGAGTGAGTGCTGCTGGGGAATTCCTTCCTGAAGCAGCTGAAGATGTTTGTGTCTCAAACAAGTAGGGCTGTCATTGCACCCTGGTTGCAGATCCTGTGCCTGGGGGAGATTAGAGGTCTTGCTTCTCAGCTTGGGTCATAACTGGTGTAATATGTTTTGGAAGGGTCACAGCTACATGCTCTATGCATTTTGTCAAAGTAAATAAACCCTGATTATTATTTTTTTTAAAAAAATATAATTTGCAGTTGTCTTCTTAATTTGTCTCTGGCCATCATTGAAGCTACTGTGCTGCTGTTGTTTTGAAAAAAGAGTTTGCCTTGTCTTGCAAGGCTGTTCTTAAGGGATCAGCCTTGGCTGAGAAAGTGTCACTTGGCGTGCTCTGACGCCTCAGACAGTGTTGTTGTAAGATCAAATTGCATGGTTCCTACCAATTATTGTGGCAGCATTGTTCGCTTTGCACTGATTTTGTATGGAGAATGAGCTGTAACTCACAGGTGTCTCTCTGTTTTGTTTAAAAACTGAACAAGCACTAAGGAGAACCTTTACTAAATTAGGAACATACAGAAAACTGAATTCTCTCTCTGGAAATTCACCATAGACCAACAGTCCAATCTTTACGCAAGCAAAACGCACCTGTAGCCCATCTTGCTCTTTCATGCTTCCTCTTACCTGTTCATAGATATTTTTCATCAACTCTGCTACAGCAAGAAGTCCACTCAGTTTCGCTTCAAGTTCAGTTTTGTGCAGGAAGCCGTTGTCCAGATCCTGTGTAGAACAGCAAGAGAAGAAGAGTTCGTGTTTCTTCATTTGAGCTGGAACTTTTGACCAAAAGTTAAGAGTGCCGCAACATATTGTTGGGGAGGGGGAGAAGTACCCTCTGCTGACCAATGCTTAGATGCTCTCTAAACATTCCTACCATAACTCTGACCTTCCCCATTCAGAGCCACAGGCATTGAATAATCATACAGTGATTCTCCTACTTCCATATGTGCAGTTATAAAATGCAAGCTGCTTAAAAACATACACCCATGTCAAGAGTGGTTTTAAAAAAACCTTCTGCTTTTCAGGAACACTTTCCATGTTGACTTCTTTGTTAATGAACGCTCTTACACATTTACTACTGCATCTCCAGGCAGTACAGATTATTCCGGGGCATGCTCAATTTGTATAAGGTGATGGCAAGCATATTCAGTCTCACTGCTGCCACATTTCAGCTGCGTCCAACACTCACCCAGCCTTCTTCTGAAGCTGCACGTTGCTATGGAAGATCACAACATGTGTACAATCTACTTTCCAGGTTTGCTTTTCCTCCTCCACCTATCTTCTTGTTGGGAAACTTTTTGGAAGCTTTTGAGGAGGCCACCCAGATGCTGTTGGACCACAACACCCATCATCCCTGATCATTAACCGTGTTGAATGGGGCTGATGGGAGTTGGAGTCCAACGGAATCCAGAGGGCCACAGGTTCCATATCCCTACTTTAGAGGAACTCCAAATTTCCTGTTTGGAAACCAAAATCACAGATTGAGGGAGTTCTGGTATGTGTACCTGCTCTCATTTAGGTTTGGATTATACACATCCCTTTTCGCTCCATGTCCCAAAATATATGTAAGATTTTATCACTGCTTTAGGGTTGCATCAAACAAAGTTTCTCCATTTGTACAAGGGCTTCTGCAACAAACTTCCCTTCCCTCTCCTTTTCCTCATGCTGCCATTTGCTCTGGAGGGTTAGGGGCATGCACACCAACTCCTGGGACGCGGGTGGCGCTGTGGTCTAAACCACAGAGTCTAGGGCTTGCTGATTGGAAGGTTGGCGGTTCGAATCCCTGTGACGGGGTGAGCTCCCGTTGCTCGGTCCCTGCTCCTGCCAACCTAGCTGTTCGAAAGCACATCAAAGTGCAAGTAGATAAATAGGTACCACTCCGGCGGGAAGGTAAACAGCATTTCCGTGAGCTGCTCTGGTTTCGCCAGAAGTGGCTTAGGCATGCTGGCCACATGTCCTGGAAAAACTGCGGACAAATGCCCGCTCCCTCAGCCAGTAAAGCAAGATGGGCGCCGCAACCCCAGAGTCGTCTGCGACTGGACCTAATGGTCGGGGTCCCTTCACCTTTACCTTTACACCAACTCCTAGGGGCTAAGGCAGTCCCCCCCAATGTATTTTTGATGAGACCAGACCCCCTCAATGTTTAGAGGACGTTCGGCTCTGCCCCCGGCCCTCAGGACATCACACATGTGACATCAGGATGTCGATCCGGCCACTCAATCAACTTGCAAAGATGGTGACTCTGGTTAGGGGGAACCTCATAAACAGATTTGGGAGGGGGGAGAGGGAGGGAAAGTTTTGTTGCACAAGGAGAAGCCCTTGCCCAAATGGTATGACATTGTTGCATATAACTCTTCGTTCTGCTGGAAATTAGGTGGCTCACAGAAGGAAGGAAGTTGGGCTGGTCCACAAATTACTCTTTGAATTAGAAGAAAAAATTAGGCTGTTGAATGGCACCAGCAGAGTAAACAGAAAGGTAGTTGCAAGCTGGTTTCAATGCAGGATGAACACATGTAAAAGGAATTCGTAATTCATAGCAGCAGCAGTATATCACAGGGAATATTTTTTGACGCCCAGCTTTGTTTCGTACTTAAAGGTCCCCATAGCAATCACCTTCAATGAACATTCAAGGCTGTCCATCAAGAGGTGGAGTGAGGCAACTTAGAAGTAACACAAGAGCGTCGTTATGCCTTAAGAACAGGAAAGGCTGGAAATTTCTGTTTGCACTTAAAACATCATGGAAATCTTGAACAAGTTTCTTATAATCATACAGGTTTGTCCCAGACATGCTTGTCTGACTGCCAGATGACAATGAACAATTATGGGTTGTCTTGGTTCCAATGTTTTTAAAACCTCCTTTTCAGAAGAATAATTATAATCAAGGTCAGAGGCCAAAATTATTTGATACAATAATATGGCTGCTGCCCAAAATCATGATTCATTTGCAGCAGTATCTAGAAATAACAAATGCTGTAAGGATTTGACAGTTATCGCAGTCCATGTTTCGCTTGTCCAGTAAGTGGCAGCCAGGACATTGACAAAACTAACAAGTTGGATTAGAAAGTGCAAATCAATTTTGAAAATTGAAAAGCCAAAATGTCTAATTTTGAGAACTCAATTTTCAACCCCTCTTTCACTTTATTCATTTCAGTAATATTTTTTTCAGTGTATACATTATATTAAAAAAGAGATGGTTGACACCTTTTTGAACTTCAACCCTTTTGGTTTAAATAATCACTGTGTTTGTTTTTCATTTATTCCTAGTGGTCCAAATGGACCTATAACCACCCTTTTCAGGCAGACACAACTTAGTCAGGTCTAACCACACTATTTCCATTTTTCTTCCTCTTTGAAACCATATCCACCCCATTCAAAACCAGTCCATTTTCTCTCTTTTTGTCTCTCTCTCATGCCTGCCTGTGTCCATTCCAAAGCAGCAATCTTGGGGTTCCTGGTTTAAACAAAAGAATGGCCCAACCCCCCAAAATTGAAAAGCCTTTAAAAGTTTTCTCTCTCTTCCATAAGAGATTTTATGTAAACCTTGCCAGTGATGCAGCTGTCATCAAGGGAGGTGGGTATAGGGCTGGGAACCAGCATTACCACTGCATGGATGTGAAACTGAAGAGTTTTGGGTCTACTTTACCTTTTTGAGTGTCATGAAGGTGAATTCCATCCCAGTGCGTTTGTTTATTTCTTCCTCATATCTAAAGGAAAGGAAGGATGGCTGGTATGAATGAAATGGCAAAAGGTATAATTTAAGCAGTGTATATAATTTAGGCTCTCAAGATCTGTTTGTTTATTTCTTCCGCATATCTAAAGGAAAAGAGGGATGATTGGTATGAACGGAATGGCAGAAGGTATAATTTAAACAGTGCATATAATTTAGCTGCTCTAGATTGATTTCCATTTTCTGTTTAGGAAACAGAACCGGTGTTTCCCTTACATCCATCCCATCCCACTCACACGGCAGAAAAAAGTCACGCCTGAGCTATCATCTCATTAACTTGTGAATTATCATACCTCTTATAGACATAATTTTGAATGATGCGCCCATTCTGCTGGATCCTGTACAGATAATGCTGCAATAAGAGACTGCCCCTGCCCTAAAGAGTCTGTAGAATGACTAGAAAATGTTTGGGAGGAGAAATAATGTGAGGAAATAATAGCAGACGAAATAAGGGCACTGGGCGAGTGCAGAAGATGTAGGAAAATAATCTCTAATTAGCGTGAGGCTAATCACGTCATCCCACTGCCTCAAAGAACAAAAGAGATTCCCTTCATCTGCACCACCCCATTTCCTTCTTCCCAAGCACAGTTCAAAACGATTGTGGCTGGTTGCTGTAGGTCCTTTCTGGTCCTCTCCAACACCACACTGCAGCTCCTTATCACATCAGATCAGGATTTCGCAAACTTGAGTCTCCAGCTGTTTTTGGACTACAACTCCCATCATACAAATCTAGCAGGACCAATGGTCAAGGATGATGGGAATTGTAGTCCAAAAACAGCTTGGGAGTTTGGGAAACTCTGCATCAAATGCCCATTTCATATGGTTACTTCCCATGACGGTGCTTCTCTCTTACCTTATCTGCATCAAGAATGCTTACATTATATCCTATGGTATAAGAAACGGCATCGGCCACCCCCTTGCATGGAACAATAATTATAGTGTTTCAAAATGTGAATCAAGGGGCTCAACTAATGGAACCCTTTCTAAAGAACACCAAAAACAGAGCAGACCCCTAGGGCAGCTGCTGCCATTTTATATTATTATGATGGGAAGAGTTGCATTGTGTTGACTGATGTTCACCACCACCACCTGCTGCTTCCATCCTTTCTACAGGGTGCAGCAGCAAACGTTAGAACTACAATGACTAAGGTCTCAAAGCCCTATATCTCCAGTTTCATCTGCTCAACTTACATACAGCTTTGCCAAAGGATGACAATGCCAACATCTCCAGGCTTAACAGAACTGGATGGACAGGGTGGTGCCCCCTTGTATCCAAGTTCCCAGAAGAGGCCCCATCACTGTAGGTGTTTTAAACAGGTTTGTTAAGGAGCTAAAGAAGATGGGATGGGAGTGAGGCAACTCCATTTTGTGACGCTGGCAGCCTGCAGTCATAAAGACACTTGTGATCCATTTTCTTCTCAACAGGAAGTAATGGAATGTAGCCCTGGGTGGCATGCAGGTCCCACAGGGGCCCCTGAGGCAAGCTTTGAACACAATGGACTGCATTAATATCCCCTGACAACTTAGAATGCTTTCTCTTCAGTAGTGCAATAGCTTGTTATTGTCTAAGTAATAAAAAGCAAGCCTTTCCTGAGATCAAATGAGTGGTGTTGAGGCATGGCTGGAGGGCCCCAGATGTTGTGTGTTATCGATACGACTGTGATACATTGTACTCCTGCCCCCCGCCTTTAGGTTTCTGGGCAGAACCAGGAAACTGCATTTAATTCTTTCCCCCTCTGCCAGGTGTCGTTGTTGTTTAGTCGTTTAGTTGTGTCCGACTCTTCGTGACCCCCTGGACCAGAGCACGCCAGGCACTTCTGTCTTCCACTGCCTCACGCAGTTTGGTCAAACTCATTGCTGGTAGCTTCGAGAACACTGTCCAACCATCTCATCCTCTGTCGTCCCCTTCTCCTTGTGCCCTCCATCTTTCCCAACATCAGGGTCTTTTCCAGGGAGTCTTCTCTTCTCATGAGGTGGCCAAAGTATTGGAGTCTCAGCTTCAGGATCTGTCCTTCCAGTGAGCACTCAGGGCTGATTTCCTTAAGAATGGATAGGTTTGTTCTTCTTGCAGTCCATAAGACTCTCAAGAGTCTCCTCACACATAACAACAGATAATTCTTGCTAGCCTTCTTATGGCCAGCTCTCCCGCTTGCTTTCTGGCCTTTGTGAAGTGACCAAATATTTTTTGTCTTGCTTTCTCCCAAAACAGGCGTCTTTTCTGGTGCTGTCTATCTGAGTGAAAATGACCAGAAGTAATCTCTTCCCCCTCTGCTCTTTAAATTACCTTAAGATGTTGGTTTCAGTTTGCACCTTATGCCTTAGCATTGCACAGTGACTCACAGTAGGGTTCCCGGGCTGCAACCTGGAGAATAAGTCTCTCTCTTTAAATGTGACAGACTGGGGGCAAAGTGGGGGCTGAACCTGAATACAAATAAGAGCAGCTCTGCTGAGATGGACTGGTCTGTCCCCTTCTGCATCCTGTTTCCAACCAGATGCCTATGGCAAACACAGAAGTTGGACAGAAGGACAATAGCTTTCTTTTGCTGTTGTTTTCCAGAAACTGGTATTCAGAGGCATGCAGGTTCTTGACTAGTAGCCACTGATAGCTTTATTCTCCATCAGACTGTCTAATCCTCTTTGAAAGCCATCTATAACTTCTACACTAGGCATTTACTATGTAAAAGCCACACTTTGTTCACTGACGTTTCCCAGGGCATTTGCAGGACACCATCAACATCACACTATTGTATTCTTCAGTTTCCCTCACGCTTCTCTCATTTCTTGCAGAACACAGAAAATTTGGGTAGGGTAGTGGAACAATCTCCACAGGTCTGGTCACCTTAGCGGTTCTTTCATGCTCTTCATTAAAAGGGTGTTTTTCTAATGTGTGCAGTGACCAGTGCTACTTTTCTAGAAGAGGTGCTGGAGCTCAGTACAAACATCTCCCTTGTTCTCTTAGAATGGTAATGGTGCCCATCTGAGAGGTGCCAGAGCTAAGCTCCAGTGAAATCTGGCTGAAAAAAAGCCCTGGCAGTGATATATCAGAGCCTATCACCATGGAAGTATTTACTATTTCACAATGATCTTCGCTACTCATTATAGTGGTACCTCTGGTTATGAACTTAACCTGAAGCTGTTCTTAACCTGAAGCATCACTTTAGCTAATGGGCCTCCCGCTGCCACCACACAATTTCTGTTCTCATCCTGAGGTAAAGTTCTTAACCCAAGGTACTACTTCCGGGTTAGCTGAGTCTGTAACCCGAAGTGTTTGTAATCTGAGGTATTTCACAATGAAGTGCTTTGACAGAATTAGGCTGGGGCCATGGAAATGTTCGCCCATTTTTCAGATCTGGCATAGGAGTCTTCAAGCAGGGGTAAGGGAACAAATTCAACAAGCAGAAATCCAGGCAAGGGCAGAAGGACAGGCCTGGCCATTCAGAAGCTTCATACGGCTAGCCATAATAGAAGCTGGTCTTGCAAACCTCTGTTCCAGAGATGGGGAAACTGTGGCCCTGCAGATGTTCTTGGACCCTTCATTACTGACCACTGGCCAGGCAGGCTGGGGTTGATAGGAGCTGGAGTCCAAGAACATTTGGTGGTTACACGTTCCATAACTCTACTGTACTTTAAGTGCGACCTGAACATGCAAGGTGACTTGCTGGGCTAAGTCAAACCCTGAAGCCTCTGAACCAGCAGTGCAGTCAACGCAGACACCATGACTCTGTATGAAAAAGCCCCAACGAACAGAAAGAGCCCGAGGCTGAGGGAAGAGAGCTCTTCCAATTCAGAATGGGTGATGACAGAACCTCCTCCCCACCCTGGGAGCTACCTCTTTCATAAGCCCCATTACAAGGATAGTGGCAGAAATGTTGGTTCTTCTGGTTCTTCTGCCCTTTGGCTGGAATGCTTGGCTTGTTGCCAGAGCACACACGCTACGCTTAATTACAGCCTGCCTCATGCATACAACCCTGATCCCTCTTCAGTCTCTTTTGCAACTCCTTCTGATACCTCCTGCCTTCAGCCCACCCTGAGAGAAGGCTTTATGTATTGCAAGGCCCTGACATACTTTACCTGAGGGAGGTAGGAGAGGAGCAAACAGGAGGCATGCCGGTCTTGATGGGGTTGCAGAGCAACCTGATCAAAGCCTGCCAAACCATCCACGTTCCTTTAACCAGGGCTGATTGCGTAGGAGTCCCTGGTATCAAGGAGTTGCATCCAGGCGTTGACTCATACGGACATGGAAGGTTCATTCCCAACTACAACAGTTGGAGATCCTCACTGAGAATCCAAGTGCAGGGCAAGGAGGGTGGTGGTGGTGGGATAATTGTAAAGTGCCCACTAGGTAAAACCCATATTGTATATTTTAATATTTATTTGTTATAACATTTCTATCCCATCTTTCATCCAAAGGACTCAAGGCAGCATATATGGTTCTTCCCCACCTCATTTCATGCTAACAACAGCTTTGTGAGGTAGCTTAGGCTTCAAGACAGTAACCAGCCCAGGATCGGTGGAGTGGTGATTTTGTGGCTCAGAGGCACTCTAACTATATTATGAATACCTTTTTTTTTTTTAGTATTTATTTATATTATCGCCGCCCATGGCCTGAGTCTCCAGCACTCCTAATCTGTACGAGTGGTACCTCTGTTACGTACTTATTTGTTCCAGAGGTCATTCTTAACCTGAAACTGTTCTTAACCTGAAGCATCACTTTAGCTATTGGGGCCTCCCTCTGCTGCCCTGCCGCCACCACGTGATTTCTGTTCTCATCCTGAAGCAAAGTTCTTAACCCAAGGTACTATTTCTGGGTTAGCAGAGTCTGTAACCTGAAGCGTATGTAACCTGAAGCGTATGTAACCCGAGGTACCACTGTACACCACAGTGGCTCTCATGTTAGTGTCTGCACACAAGTGTGATGACATTAGGCGTAGCCTAGTGGATGTTAGCACTTCCTGTCTGCTGCCTGTTCTTATTTTC